ACAATGTTACAAATAAAAAATGAGGAAATAAATTAGGAAATAAGAAACAAAGCTTTTAAAAAAAAATCCTTTGAACTCACAGTCACAAACCACTCATGTACTTTTAATAATTCAAAGTCAAGTTGTGAAGGAAAGGTAAGAGGAAGACAATATTTGAGTAGCTACATGCACTGAAATGATTGTGGGGAATGAGGGAAGGAAGTAGCATGACCAAAATCCTTAATCTTTTCTTGTAATGGGAAAACACTAATTCAAAATGAACTTTTTGGAAAACCATATGCAATAAATAAATATTGAATTTGTTGCCATTTGGAACTAGATCTTTAATATCTCATCCAATCAAAAATTCTGTTTCAGGCTGGCCAGTTAGCTCAGTTGGTTAGTGTGTGATGCTGATAACACCAAGGATAAGGGTTCAAGCCCTGTACTGGCCAGCTGCCAAAACAAGAACAAAATTGTTTCTCTGGTTCTATGATTTTAAAAATCCCAATTATCTACTTAAAAATTTTAAAATAGGCTTTTAAACAAACTTTTATGACATTTTTAAGTTTATAGGTTGAGAATATAGAAAATAAAATTTTAAAAACCTTTTGTCTCCCACTGCTGTGTATACACCCAAAGGAATGGAAATCATCATGTCAAAGGGATACCTGCACTCCTGTGTTCATTGTAGCTCTATGTAACAATAGCCAAAATACGAACCAACCTAAGTATCCATCGATGGATGACTGGATAAAGAAAATGTGGTATATATAAACAACGGAATACTACTCAGCCATAAAAAAGAATGAAATTCCACCATTTGCAACAACATGGATGAGACTATAGAAAATTTTGTTAAGTGAAATAAGCCAGACAAAGAAACAGAAATACCACATGTTCTGACTAATAACTGGCTGCTAATGGAGGAAGGTAGGGAGGAAAGGAGGGNTTTAAACAAACTTTTATGACATTTTTAAGTTTATAGGTTGAGAATATAGCAAATAAAATTTTAAAAACCTTTTGTCTCCCACTGCTGTGTATACACCCAAAGGAATGGAAATCATCATGTCAAAGGGATACCTGCACTCCTGTGTTCATTGTAGCTCTATGTAACAATAGCCAAAATACGAACCAACCTAAGTATCCATCGATGGATGACTGGATAAAGAAAATGTGGTATATATAAACAACGGAATACTACTCAGCCATAAAAAAGAATGAAATTCCACCATTTGCAACAACATGGATGAGACTATAGAAAATTTTGTTAAGTGAAATAAGCCAGACAAAGAAACAGAAATACCACATGTTCTGACTAATAACTGGCTGCTAATGGAGGAAGGTAGGGAGGAAAGGAGGGAAGAAGAAAGGAATGAAGGAAGGAAAGAAAAGACCACAACAATATGTTGAACTTTCAGAAGGAGAGAACCAATCTAAGGATGCTAGAGATGGGGGGGTGGGGAGGAAGAGGATTGGGAAGTGATAGGTCAGATAAAGGGCATAAAGAAATATCACGATTTGTAAGCATGAATATGCTAATAATAAATTTTAAAATTTAATTTTAAAAAAAACACCATTTTCACACAGAAGCCCACTTATAGGCACCGCAATTGCCATGGATTCCGTAAAAGCGGCTAGTCTCTATAGCAGCGGTTGCAGCCACCGTGCAGACAGCACGCCAGACGCTCAACGTCATTGACACAAGGAGAGGCACCAGCAGAAACCAGAAAAAGAAAAGAAAAGTCCTCTTTACAAACCACACTTCAGAGTAACAGAAAAAGCATCTGATTTACAATAATAGGGGAGGACTTGATCACACCTGTCTCAGTACTGGACAGATGAGCAAGGCAACAGACTAACAGACGAACAGTTAATCTATCGAATGGAGAGAACAAACCTATGGTTACTAGAGGGGGAGAGGAGGGAAGACGGGGAGAGATTGGATAAGGGACAGAAAGAATAAGCATGATTTGTAACAATGAATATGCTAATTAAAAATAAAAATAAAATACAAACATTTAATAACTATAAATGTATTATGTATTTAGTATATATATTTGATACATATATAATAAAATCAATAGCTTCCTACTCAGCAAAGGAAACCAAAAAGAAAATAAATATTGCTGATGCAAACAAGGCAGGAAAGTAGGATAAAACCATGTATAAATAGATTGATTTGAAAGACTACAAGAAGACAATAAAAACTTTAAATATATCAGTAATATCAAAAATAAATGGAACAAATTAAACTCACCAGTTAAAACCAGAGACACTTCAATTTTATTTCATAATAAGAACAAATGAGATGGGGAATAATATTAAATAAATTTAAAAAGGAAAATCATTAATATGTACATAAAAAGTTCACAATGATGGTGTAAAATTATGAAATAATAGTATATTGCTAAATATATAGTACAGTAAATGACAAAATTACAAGAAAAATTGCAAAGTGGATTTTAAGGTATCTACTGTAGAAAGTGATATAATATGCAGAACTGATATATCATATAGAGCATTTTTAAAAATGTAAGTAACAAGCTTGCTCTAAGAATGATAAATAGAACTCTATAACCAATAACTAAAGATAACACATTCATTTGCAGCACACTTAAATATTCACTATGTACTAGTCCACAAGGAAATTCTCAATAACTGTTAAGGAATCAATATCTTACTGCTTTTTCTAATCACGACACAACTTTTAAAGTTATTTTTTTAAATAACTGATGCAGGCCACTGGGACTATTTTGCTCCCATGTCTCTGTCTCTGCTGCCTGGAGGAAGCAACAAAGCCAGCAACTGTAACAAAGGAAAATGATATGAAGACTGCATTAGGGTTAGGAGAAGAGGAGGAGGTAGAATCACCTTGGGATTCTGAGGTTTCTGATAGTCATCAAAAAAGATCTGTTGCATTAAAATCACATGTTGCAGGATGAAATTGCCATACTAAGACTGGAAATAGACACAATGAAAAATCAATATCAGGAGAAGGAAAAGAAATATTTGAAGGACTTTGAAAATGTAAAAAAAAAGAATGACGACCTTCAAAAGACAATAAAATTGAATGAGGAAACATCCACAAAAACAATATTCCAGTACAGTAGACAGCTTAATGTTCTGACAGCTAAGCATACCATGCTAAATTCTAAACTGGAGGATGAAAAACAAAACAATGAAAGACTGGAAACAGAAGTTGAATCATACCATTACAGACCAGCTGCTGCTATACAAGATTGTGTTCAAAGTCGGACATCTAAAAAGGATCTAGAACGTGCTTCCCAGAGAGCAAATGATGAGTGATTTCACTTACAGGAAAAGAATTATGATTTGTCTATCTAAAGGAGTGAATTTCTTTCTCAACAATTGTCTAAAGCTGAAATTAAATCTGATAGCCTAAAAATTGTGCTCCATCACACAAGAGATGTTCTCAGAGAAAAGACTTCAGTCTTAGAACATGTACAAAGAGACTGAAGCCAAACGCAGTGTTAAATGAAGGAAATTGAACACTTGTATAAAAATGAACAAGGCAAAGTGAATAAATGCGTTGGAAAGCAGGAATCTGTAGAGGAGAGATTCAACTACAACATGAAAATAGTTTTCTTCAACAGCAACTGGATGATGCTCACAACAAAGCTGATCGTGAAGCAAAGATAGTAATTAATATCCAACACCAGTGTCATGATATTGTAAGAACACTTCAAGAGTGAAAGAACAAGTCTTATAACTAGAAGAGAGAAACAAGGAGTTCATCAATGAGTATAATCTTTTATTTTTATTTATTTATTTATTTATTTATATTTTTGTCCTTTTTGAGACTAACCGCACCGCGCTCAGCCAGTGAGCGCGCCAGTCATCCCTATATAGGATCCAAACCCGCGGCAGGAGCGCTGCTGCACTCCCAGCACTGCACTCTCCCGAGTGCGCCACGGCTCGGCCCGAGTATCATCTTTTAAAAGAAAAACTGCATCAGCATTAAAATGAGGAAGAAAGAGAAAGTTCCAGTCAAGATGGAGGAATAGACGGTCCCCAGCATCACTCTCTCCCACAAGTCAACCAATTTACAACTATAAAAATGTAACATCAGCCAAGCTGGGGACCCTGGAGCTCAGGGTGAGAGGAAAGACCTATGGAGTTCATGAAGGTGGGAGAAACCACGATGAGAGAAACAAAAAACTGCTCTGAGCATTTCGGTTCACGGCCACTTTAAGACTGGAACTGCTGAGCGCATACAGCAAGAGCCAGCAGAAGCCACAGCTATGCCCTACAGATGGAGTTGCTTGGATGTGGCAGGGGAGAAGAGGGCCTTGGTGGCCCCCAGAACAACAAGACCACTAATAGGGTTCCTGTGGACCCACACAGGAGTGAGGAGCCAGAACAACTGAAAAAAAAGGAGTCATTCAGAGGCCGGTGAGTCATCGCAAGGGACCGGCACAGGGCCCGTCCCATGGGAAATGTTTGGAGCACGAGCGATGGGGGAGACAGGCCCACCCAGAGAACACTAGGGCACAGCAAGGACAGCCGATCCACCCCTCAATCACTGCAGGACCACTCAGAGGAGACTGGTCAGGAATGCAGAATTGCATGGGCGCAGTTTGATGAAAAAACTAAGGCCCAGATCAGAGTTGCTACACAACCCAGGTGCACGGAGTCTTAGGAGACCCGGAAGTACCTATAAGGTCAACCATTAAACCCTAGGCTGCACAAAAAGCCTTCCCTAGGGAAATGGCAGCAAAGCAGCAATTTAGCTAAACCACACAGCTCAAGAACTGGTCCCCACAGGAAGTTCCCCTGTTTTAGAAGTAAGCAAAGGACAAAAAATTAGTTCTGGCCCAGGCACACCGCCAATGCCTTGGGGCCTGCCAGGGGACCTGAGGCATGGAGCCAGGGCGAGAACCCCCCTCCCCAAACCACACACACTGTGCCTGCACTTCATGGACCACCAAGGGACCCAAGGCATGGAGAAAGGGACCGGACTGCCTTCTCGCAACCAGGCACACTACACAAGTGCCTCAGGGCCCACCCAGTGTCCCGAGGCTTGGAGCCAGGGACCAGACCCTCCTCCCACAACCTGGCACACCGCCAGCACCAAGGAGCATGCCAAAAACATTACCTCCATGTGGGTGGCCCACCACAGCTACCACAATGACCATGGCTGCCATGAAAGTGGCTAGACGTCACAACCACCACACAGATGGTCCGCCAGCCACTGGAGTGCACTGACACAAGGAGTCACCAGCAGAGATAAAGAAAAGAAGAAGATGTCTATCTCCACAAAGCCCATTTCAGAGTGAGAGAAGAAGCATGTGCTTTATGATAATATTGGGGGACCTGATCACACCTCTCAACATTGGGCATATCATCTAGGCAACACAACAGAGTAAACCATTATTCTTTCAGAAGGAGAGAAGAAATCTAGGGTAACTAGAGCGGTGAGGGGGAGAAAGAGGAGGAGGTGAAGAAATTGGACAAGGGGTATAAAGAATAATTATGATTTGTAACAATACATATGCTAGTAATATTGATTTGATCAACATATCTCAATGTTGAACCCCAAAAATATGTATAATCAATTCTGATTCAATAAAAAAAATAAAAACAAATTTAAAAAAGAAAAAAAAAAAGATTGAGGGAGAAGGAAAAAATGGCAGAATTACTTAAAGGTATGCCCAGAAACAAACAAAAATAATTTGTAACTGCAATTTCAATGTTTCATAAATGTCCTCTACTTCCATTCAAAAAACCCCCTAAAATTAGCACATAATTAAGCAAGTTAATAAAACATAATCCCTGCAAATTTTATGTATAAGGAAAATCCTCATATGACATCAGAAGAGCATGGTTTATAAATAAAATATATGTTAACAAATATAAAAACAACAGTTTCAGATTTAAATTTTAGAAAAAAATTAATTTATTTTAAGTTAAGGGTCCCTACCTAAATTTATTTTGGTATCAAACAACTGCAATTAGTGATGGGGACAAAAAAGCATCTGTAATTGTAATAGGATGTTACTTTATTTACAAAAACTATACAAAATTAGATTAATTATAACATCAACTTATCAAAGGTTCTTGAAATTAATTTGGTTTTTGGAAAAGTATCAAAAGTCTTCAGATCCAGAATTATATGGTCTTTTATTATTTGTGATTCATGGAATTATAGCACATGAGATCTTTAAGCAACAACACCAGACAAAATCCTATACAATAAAATACTCTCCTTTTTCTGATAGCTTGGAATGTAAATGAAAATTTGTTTATTACCAAAAAAAAAAAAACTTAAAATCTCCAATAGTATCAAATACCTGTTAGAATGGCTTGTCTGCTTGAATTAATAAACAAGGCAATTAGTTCTACGTTGTTAAAAATTGCCTTAAATTAAGTCCTTTTCTTCTTTTATAAAAAAAAAAAGTTTTTCTCGGCCATTTCAGATCTCTACGTCTTACAACAAAAACTGTTACTCAGTTTTAACTAGGAAGTACACCCATACAAGGCGTCTTCAAAACAGTACATATTTTAAAAGTGCACATAAGCAAAATTAAATATCTTAAATTGTTAACAAATCTCGGAGCAACAATTTAATATTTCTATCACAAAATACAGGTAGCCTTAAGAGAAACATGCTTGGTCAATCTTTCTTAAGCTTTTAAGTTTGGTGCCAAAACATTTAAAAATAAAGAAAAAAATACCATGATTCTTTGCTAATGGCTTTTAAGACATTAGTTTGCAGATATAGCTAAATACTCATTAAACAAATTATCCAGGCTATCCAACTATATTTGCCATGAATTCATAAGACAATAACACACATCTATAATATCAAAGCAATCAAAAACAACCAAAGGTATTTTAGGCCTAAGATGATTTTACCTTATAAGGGTTACATGAGAAATATTAGACCAAAATAAACTTCAGATAAGAAATTATATGACATGGCTTTGTTCAAACACACCTAAAATTCAGACTCAAGTAAGTACCTAGGCTGGCTTTTTTATATCACCAGCTTTCATCAGGGCCTTAATTGCTCTTGCCCTCATCTCAAGTTCTAGCAGCTCCAGCTGCTGTGCAGAAGGTTGAACATCTTCTGGTGGAGGAACAGTCAGGGTGGCTGCCTTGGATTCCTTTGGACTAGACTCTGCCAGTCCTAGAATCTCATTCACACTTTTCTCAATGTCTTTCTCCAGGTCATCTATCTGACCAGCTTCGCTTTGAACTGTATTTTCTGGGGCCTCAGGAGCAGCTGTTTCTTCGTTGCATGGGCCTTCTATGTCGCTGTCATAAGCATCTGCATTTATACTGAGTACATCACTATCTTCCCCTTTGCCTGTAACAAACAAAAAAAGGGGAAAGAACCATGTAACCTAAATGCCCTGGGTCAAAATTTTTTCACTATTTATGATTAAAGGATTGCTCTGACCCCGCCTCCCACCACGGAGTTCCAAACACATTCCATAATCCCAACCCCACCTCTTTTTCCCTAACTCCTCACCTTTCAAAACAGATCTACTGTACAAATTTAATAAATTTATATAAATATAAATTAATATAAATTCTAATGTATTTGTCATTCCAATTTGTAAAACATGGAAGCATTAGAAAATTTATTCCATCATATGGAGTCCCCATGATCTATTTTCCTAATTAAAATGTCATAATGTTTTATATCATAATGAAGCTTTTGCATTACAAAATGAAAGCTGACACTAGAAACCATTTGGATAGAGTATTGCTTATAATTGAAGTAAACTTTCATTCTAGAAGGTATTTAAAATACTTTGTTTTATAAACTACAAAAAAGGAAAAATATCAGCAAGCTGGATACCATGTGCACTGAAATTGTCTCAAATCTTTTCATATACTTTTTCAAACTCTTTATTCTAAATCAATAAATTAAAGGAGAATGCCTAAGGCCATTTTCTAAGATAAAATAAGCTTTCATGAAGAAGATTTTAATTAATAAAGTTAGTACACCATAATTTTTTTAAGCACATTTCTTATAAAACTTCTATAACTGACATTAAGAATTTGACTATAAACACGGATTATGGCTCTCAACTTCTGTGGCCTTGCAGTTGGATATTACTCAATTCCAGGTATCATTTGCAACTTTGAGTACTCACTTATATCTCCAATTTATTCTTCTTTAAAAACTTTTAAAAATATATTAGGGATTTTAAAGTAATGATCCCTAAAATGTTAGCTTTGATAGCTTTCTCATAGCAGAGAAAACTTATTTATAAAACACAAACTGACAGATGAAAAATCCTGATAATAGACTGTACACGAAGAACATAATTCTACTCCACTGGTTTTTTAACAGACAATTTGCTGAACTTGGCTGATACTCCTACATGCTTATAATGAAAAAACCACTCCCTATTCCAAAATTAAAAGTGGAAAATGAATCGATAAATTATTTTTGAGTCCATAAATAAAACTTATTAAAAGCAAGGTTGCAATTTTAATTATTTAATGCCAAACAACATTTTATATCTCTCTCCAAAGCAACAAGTATTTCCAAATAGCAAAAGAAAAATACAGAAAAACGAACATAGCCTTTCGTCTTAAGAAAATAATGGTTTAGGGCTGGCCAGTTAGTTCAGTTCATTACAGTGCAGTGTTATAATACCAGGGGCTCAAGGGTTCGGATCCCCATACCAGCCAGCCGCCAAACATTAAAAACAAAAACAACAACAACAAACCCAAAAAGAAAATAACGGTTTATGTAAGTATTCTAATCTGAGACAAAAACAAATTTAAGAAGTGCTAAGTTGCTCATAGCCTTAAAAAGTTAATTTTACTGCTTAGCAGGCTTTAACCTAAAATTCTAAATCTATAGTCACTGATTCTGAATGAAAATCTACAGGCTGTTTAAAAGATTTTAAAACATAAATATTTGGAAAATGAGATATGTTTTCTGGACCAGAGGTTGTTGCCAGAAAATAAATGATGAGAAGAAGAATATAATGGGCAAGGTGGGAGAGAGAGAAAGTCTGAAAGTTTGGATATCGAGTCCTAATCCTTACTCTACTGTGAAGGATGTGATGTGGGGCGAATCCCTTACCCTCTCAGAGTGCCTCTACTACGAAAATGAAGGACAATTGTCCTAGAATACCTCTAAAGTTCAAGATCTAATATTACAGTAAGTTAAGCCTACATAAAAACATGTAAACTGGCAATATTTTACACTATATTCTTTTTTCTCCCTAAGATATGGTTATCTTTTGCTTAATACATTCATTGCCTGCATAATAATTCCAAAAGAATTTCCTATTGGCAGCAGTTGTTGATGAAAGATAAATTACAAGTGAGTATATCATATTCTACCATATATTTTTCACCGAACAACCTTTTGGCAACAAAAAGAAATGTATTTATGACATCCAGACATTACAACTGAAGTTCACTTATTATCTTGAGTCCAGGGATCAGTGTCTAATGACACAACTATGCAATCCCTTATATGCTAAATCACAAAATTTGAAGTAGCTGCACTTCTACAAAATTAATTTGCTTTGAATCAATATGAAGGTAAATTTAAAAATAACAGCAAAACTTAGAAATATTTTCCATTAAAGATGTGAATAATCTACATTAGTAGATCCTGATGACATATCTTCTAAGTGGCAAATCTTCTAACTGAAAGTCACTGTCAAGCACCACATGCCTGTATTTCCCATCAAAAGACTATATACCCCTATATCCACTTATATAGTCTTATACCCTTATGAGTGTGTATAGGTATTTTTTAAAATGGGAATGTATATTATTTTCATTTTATTTTTTTCTGGAGAGGAGGGCCACAGCTTTCAAACACTTTTCAAATGGCTAAGAAGCACCTAGCTATATACTCTCACTTAACTTGGACCATTTTTTAAGCCTATTCCTATAAGCTTACTTAAGAAGTAACCACAGTGTGGGGCCAGCCCATGGTTCACTTGGTAGAGCGTGGTGCTGAAAACACACACACACACACAAAAAGAAGGAACCATAGCTAAACAGCTACTCTGCCCTGAGCTTTTCTTTTATTTACTGTAACACAGTTGATTGTGCATATCCTGAGCTTTTCACAATAAAATCTTTATTTTATAAAGTTAACAGCACCAGAGACTCAGGATCGAAATGTTTACATACACAGTCCCAATATTTGAAAGGAGAAAAATCTGGACAAGAAAAAAATTTAATTTATGTTTTTCTATGGGTGTGTTTCAAACTTTTTAGTGGGCAGAAGATAGGCTTTGCTTTATTTCTTTGTTTTTATATCAGAAACAATATATATATTTTATCACTGAAGACATGTAAATTTGGTGTTCTGTTTATATTTAAAGTTATACAAAATCCAGATGACTGAGTTCTCTGTAATAGTCTTGGCTAAACGCAATCATAGGCTCCACTAGTACATTATAACTGCACCATAGATGCCAAAGCTTTGTAGAATTATACACCTGAAATAATTTAGCATGAACACTTTATTTCACAAATGCAAAAACAAGTTAAGTGACTTGTACAACAGGACACAAAAAACGATTTGATGATCTTAGGATCATACTTCAAAGTCTTTTCACTATTTCTTAATTTTCATCATTCCAATAGAATTAGAGTCAGTAACTCATTTTTTAAAGCACCATTTGCAAACATATGAATACATTTCCAAAGGTAATTTACTCTCAGTGTTGGGATTAGGAAATTGTAAGGTTTTCCCTATCAGTTATGATCCTCAAAGTGGAAGAGGTAAAACTTCTACATCCTGGGTGGGCTGGTTAGCTAAGTTGCTTAGAGAGTGGTGCTGATAACTCCAAGGTCCAGGGTTTGATCCCTATGACAGTCTTAAGAGTGTGAATAAGAGTAACAAATCAATTTAGATTTGATAAGGTAAATTATGTCTATTCCTTTAAATAAAATCTAATAAACAGAGATATAATAGGTAATGTGATATCTATTTTAATAAAGCTTTAGAATCAGTTTTCACAAAGTTATGTTCAAAAATTGTTTCAGTAATTAGAAGTAATCATATAACACAATGTGTATGGTAAAAATCAGTTTGTGAACTAAAGAAATGTTTGGGCTTTACAAAGCCAGTAGTACTTAAGCCCACTTAATATTTTAAGCTTTTTTAAAAACCTAAAGAAAAAAAAACAAAATACTTTTTTAAAAATAAAGAAAAAAACTAAAGAAATACAAACAGTTCTGAAGTATGTATGATATTAAGCTGGGGTTACTGAAATCCACCAAGAAAAATAAAAGATGGATAGGTGTGAGGTAAAATATTAAAAATGCTATTAAGAATAATTAGAATAAAAATTCAAACTATTATGTATAAAAGACATAATCAAAAGTGGCACAGGGAGGAGAGCAAGCAAAAAATTAGACCCAAGTTACTGATGTCACAGAACTGCAAAGTACTAAGCAATACACAAAGAAATAAGAGGATATGATATATTCCTTACATTAATTCTGCTTCTCCAGCAAGATGGGTGACCCTAAAATACTACACAGAATTAGGGCACTTATGAGAAGAGCAATATAAATGAAGAAATGTAGCAACTAACTTATGGGAAGGGACTTACTAAAGGACTTTAAGAGCAAAGGGTAGGCAATAGTTATAGGACGACAAAGAGTTAAAAGATTTTTCAAAGAAAAAGTAATAAAGGGTCCAAGATTTATTGAGCATTCATCTCTATGGTTGATCCCCTGGCCAACTACTCACCAATGTACATTTTATTACACTGTCCTCTGGTCTGTATACTTCCACTATTTTTCTTTTCTTTTGCTTTCCTGCTATCTTCTGTCCTACCAACTTGATTCATAGCTCAGTCAAACTTTGTACCCAAGTACCGAAGATTTTTTTTAAAATAACAAATCAATCCATCTAGACTCAGAATCTAGACAGCAAGTAAATCAATCACTATTCAAATTCATCACTGACACAGATGAATAAATAGAATAATTTATTAGAGTAATATTTGTTTATAATATTTGCTTATATTATTCAAGGATCCATAGTTATGAATATGGGATAAAACCATAAGGGCATAATATTTAGCAACTAAACAGAACACCCAACACTCTTTAAACATTTTATTGACAAGGAGAAAAAATAAACTACATAGAACCCAACCACTTTAAAAGTAATATACTTCTAGTATAAATAAAAGGGAGTTTACTACATAATAGAAAAAATTAAAATGCATGCCTATATTTTTATTATCATTTATAACGAATCTCAATGCCTGAGAGATAAAGGGATTCCCTAAGCTAGATAGAGGGAAAACTCTGTACACCATAGATTTGCTTTTTGTTAAAATAAAAGTTTTAAATAGAATA